TCAAGATTCTTGATAAGAAAACTTAACATTAGTAAGAGAACTATTAGCAAAGATAATGAAATCATCAGCAAAACTAAGATGGGTTATAGGAATACCACCCATAGTATGATAAAACATATTAGGATGCCTCTTAAAAAAAACCTCCAAACCCCTAGATAAATAATCAGCAGCTATAATGAATAAAGCAGGTGAGAGTGGATCACCTTGACGCAAACCTTGAGTAGATTTAAAAAAACCATTACTTTTCCCATTAATAATAATAGAAAAGAAACAATGCTCAATACTATTTTTTATCAAAGAAATAAAAGCTTGGTTAAAACCAAATAAAGACAGCACTTTATAAAGAAAATCACAAGACAAGTTATCATAAGCCTTAGTAATATTCAGTTTCAGAATAAAATTCCCACCTTTAACTTTCGTATTGATATCATGAGTAATATCTTGGGCAAGTAAAACATTATAAAAAATGCCACGGCCTTTAACAAAGCCAGTTTGGTTCTGAGATATAATTCTAGGATGAATATTAACCAGTCTAGTAGCAATGATCTTATAAATAAGCTTATTAAAAAAAGAACATAAACTAATCGGTCTAAAATCATTCCAGTTAATGGTAGAAGCCTTCTTAGGAATTAAAACAATGTGATTAGAAGAAAAGAATTTCATATACGACTTACCCGAGAAAAAATCAGCTACCGCCTCCAAAATATCCCCCTTAGTAATGTGCCATGTCTTAATGAAAAATTTAGTAGTAAACCCATCCGGGCCAGCGACAGAATCAATATACATATCCTGCATAACCTTCCAAACCTCCTCCTCAGACGGAACAATAGTAAGAAGGTAATTATCAGCCTCAGAAATACAAGTAGGAATGATATAAGGATTATTAATAGGAGTTGCTTGAAATTCACTATTAATTTATTTTTTAAATTGCTCCACACCAGAATCTAAAATAGATTCCTCGTCCTCCAAAACCCTCCCATCAGCAGTAGTAATTTTTAAAATATGGTTTGTAATTCTCTTCTTATTAACCAAAGCATGAAAAAATTTTGTGTTCCTATCTCCATCCACAGTAAATTTAGTTGTAGCTTTTTGGTGCCAATAGATCTCTTCCTGTTCTTGTAAATTAAAAACAAATTGATCTTAGCAACATTAAGATTAGAAAGCTTATCACTATCCGGAGTAAGTTGATAAGTCTGCTCAAGCTCCACCACCTTCTTTTCAGCATTAAGAATGTTATCAAAGATATTTTTGAAAGTATGTTTGTTCCACCATCTCAAAACCTGTTTAAACCTACTAAGTTTGTGCCAAAGTTTAACCATACCCGAGACATTGTTACAAGGAAATAAAGGAGCTATCCAATTATTTTCTACAACATTAAGAAAATCATGATGGGAAAGCCACATATTTAGAAATTTAAAGGCAGTAGGAATAAAGTCTTTATTAGCATTTATAGAAATCAGTAAAGGAGCATGATCAGAAATAGTCCTACTAAGATGCTCCACATTGGTCATATGAAATTTGGTAATCCACTCCTAATTAAATAAAACTCTATCAAGTCTTTGCCACAAGTTACCTCTATTCCAAGTATAAGTATTACCAAAGAAACCTATATCATGAAGGTCACAAGAAGAAATCATGGAGTTGAAATCCTCCATAGCATTAAAGTTGGGATTATTACCTCCCAACCTTTCACTAGCATTAGATATAACGTTAAAATCTCCTCCAACACACCATGGACCCGTAGAGATAGAGGCAAAATTCTTAATCTGGTCCCAAAGAGCAAACCTTCCCACTCTAGAACAAGCAACATAAACAAAATAAGCATTACAGTTAAAGTTAAACATAGATATAGAAACATGCACAACTTGAATAAAGTCTTCCATAATATTTACTGTGATAGCATTAGTCCAGAAAATCCAAATCTTATTGGAACAATTCGCAAATTTATTAGCAAAACCTAACTTAGAAGCCGTAATATCAAGTTTGGTCATAGCAATCATAGGTTCAAGAAGCACCAAAATCTGAATATTGTGAATCCTACAGATATTTTTAACCCTAGTTTTCGAATCATTCCCACCAACACCTCTAACATTCCAAATAAGGGACTTAACCATGAGACCCTTTAGCACTAGTTTGTGCTCTAGTAGAGAACGACGTAGAGGATACATATTACTTATTTTTTTCTCCTTTTTTCTTATAAACTTTGGTAAATTGCTCATCCTCAAGATTATTAATAAAGGAATCATCCATAACAGTTTTTTTTTTTTTATTTAGAAATTTCTAAATCTAAGGGTAAAGAAATACCACGTTCCAGATTTTGCACAGATGTCTCCTTCCTGTTTTTAGTAGGGATGAACTCCCCTTCTTCACAATTATCGTTAATATCAGAGTCAACATTAATAGCTAAATTAGCTTCCGTACCAACTAAAGAGGCATCATTAGAATTTTTTAGCATAGAATCAACAGAAACAAAAAAAATCAGGCAATTTCTCACTAACATTACACAAGACAATACCTTAGCTATTAGCAACCAAATCCCTTCTATTTTTCGGCCCAACACAGTCATTAAACTTCTCAACCTGGTTATCCAAAACAGCATCTGCTAAAAGTTGATCTGGCACATTGTCAGAGATAGAATTAACAGGAGAGTCAATTATCTCAACCGTAGACTTCACAGTCTTTTTTAATTCAGGATGTAATTTAAAGCAATATGACATAGCATGGCCGTGAATCTTGCAATGAGAACAGAAATCATATACTTTCTCAAACTCGACTTTTTGAAAATAACCAAAATCCTTTGAGCCAACCCAAACTTCTTTAGGGTGTTTTTTCGAGATGTCAACTTCCACCAGTACCCTAGCAACAGAGGGTCGAGTCCTGGAAGCCGTTGCTTGGTCTGTTTGTAGAGGTCGCCCAAAAACAGAACCAAGAGCATATAACACTTGGGGATTAAAAAAATGTAACCTTAAATTCAGAAAATAAATCCATATAGGAACGATGGGGGATTCTTCGTGAACATAAAAAAACGGCGTCCATTTTAAGATTCTCATTTGACAGTTATTAATAAAGTAAGATCTCCAAGCAAACATTCTACTATAATCAAGATCATTCAATAGCTGAATCGCTACAAGTCTAGAATTCAAAAGCCCCACATAATAAAAACCAGAAAGTTTAAGGTTAGCGAAAAAAGAACGTATAGAGTCAAGATTTGGGCGACGTAATGCAAACTTCCCAATAAGGGTGAACTGGAAAGGACTAGCTAGCTTAAGAACATCTTCATCCGAAATCAAAATAGCTGGAACACCGTTCACAACAGATTGAGTAAATTTAGGAGCGCTATCACCTTGCATCGTGTTACCAGAAAGCACATCTTTGAAAGAGCGAGTAGGCGACTTAGTAGATTCAGCACCATCAAGATCGAAAAAGCCCATACTTTTTCCATGTATCGGGCTGGTAGTCTTCCCCCATGCGTTGGTTGAAGACATCCCCGCCAAAAGAACAACGCCCCAAACAGGGCTAGAAGGCCGAAAGGGCCACCAGAGATCACACGGTGGAAGAAAAATGGCAAGGGAAGAGAGCAAATCAGCGCTCGGAAGAAGGCCAAAGGAAGCCCTAGAAATCGCCCAAGAGGCGGCTAGGGCGAAAGCTCAGAGGGTGAAAAAATAACTCATGTTAAATGTTGATTAATTCCCTTGTTAATAGATAGTTCTTTTGGCTTATAAGTGCCTTAATAATCTCATAATTGAGTGATCATAAATTCATTAAATTCTTCTTATCTAGCCATTCATCTTGACTATAAAAATGCATGATTAAAAGCTCATCTAATTCTTTGATTAAAGCCATGAATTCTTCAAGCGTGTGACTTCAACTTATTTAAAGTCGGATCAGGAAAATAGATAGAAATATAATATAAAAGAGACGGTGGATATGAGAACTGTGGAATCGTCATCGCTACAGTTCCTAGCCCTTCTCGACAGTGTAGCCCACACGCGTCGCCCATTAATTAGTACAGACTTTACGTGTTCGTAGACCTCGCAGTCGCTTTCGTGAACGACACGATCCGACTCCCCGCTTTCTGTCTCTTTCTCCTATATAATTTCTATCAAAATATTTTTTATTCTATTTGTATAAAAATAATAATATTCATAATATTTTTCAAAAAATATATATTTCAAATTATTAAATAAATACTTAAAATTTAAATGTATTCAATTTTTTTATTTAGTTATAATTAATCATAGATGCTACAAAAATGAGTTTTTGGTACAAATTCGACCCAAATCGACCCCTTTAGAATTCATTTCATTTGATTTGAACTCGCCCCCCTCTAATATTGGGTTGATACAAACGCAACCCGATATCGAAACGGGTTGAAAAAAAGAATCTAAACTCGCCCTATTTATTAAATTCGTGGACCCGAATTCGAAATTTTGAAGTAGAGTTGGAGTCATGACATATAATGACACAACTATTTTTACTTATATTTAAATATTTATTTATGAATGCCATCATAGTTATATCTAAAAGTAGAAGTGAAATTATTATTATAAAAATACTTTTTTAGTAAAAAAAATAAATACAATTTTTTTGCATTTATCATATTCTAATAAATATAATACAAGAAATTATTTTTATAAAAAATTAGTCATATAAAAATATAATAATATAAAAATAAGTACAAAAAAAATCTCAAATAGATTCTAAATATTTTCTAATTTTGAATATTATCATTCATATTCTATTAAAAGATTGAAAAAAAAAATTCTCAGAATATGCTAATATAATTATATCATAATAGAATTAAAAATAATTAAACTTATTTTTTAATTAATATTATAATAGAAAATTGTAAATTATGCTAATTTTAAAATAAATTAAATAATTTTTATATACAAATTAAATTCCAAGATTATCCTGCAAATTTCCTCCTTTCTCTCTCTTACTTCCTGTATTTCTTCTTCACCACTACTCCTAAGTCTCCATTCCCCTTCCAATTCCACATGGAGTCAGAGGATCAGTATTTCCACCTTCTGCCGGAGCTCCGGCAGCTCATGCTTCTTAGCTCGAAGCCACCCATCTTCCCCGCCGCCGCTTCAGACCATCTCTACTCCTTATCTCCTCCGCTTCCATCTCCACCACTTCCACATCCGCCGTTCATTTCCGCTGTCAACGGCGGGGTATCCTCTTCCCAGAGCCGCTGGCCGAGACAGGAGACTCTCACCCTTCTTGAGATTCGTGCCCGGCTCGATCCTCAGTTCCGGGAGGCTGGCCAAAAGGCTCCGTTATGGGACCAGGTAGCGAGGTAACTAAGTGATTATTATTATAATTATTATTTTTAATATTGATAGTACGAACCAATAGCATACAACCAGTCACTAACAGCATAAAACACGCCCATGGGCTATGAGAAATTAATACGTGCAGAGTCCGAATGCATTCAAGTTAAAACTTCAATGAAATTGTGCTACATCGTTTACGCACAATAGTGTGTGCAACTTATACTGTACACAGCAGTGTGTGCGACTTCTATATGTACAAGTTGCACAAACTATTGTGCACAAGCGACATGGCTTAATTTTAATGGAATCCGAACGGGAACTATATATGAACTCTCCACGTAATAGTTCCTCAAGGGGATCACTTATAAAGAAGAAAAACAAGCCTAGCTAATAGTAAGTAATATTGGAGAAATAGGTAAGAGTAGTGAAGAATTTAGGCCACCAATGGAGCAATAAGAAGAAGTGTGCATAGTCTCAGCAGCAACTATGCAGTTTTTTGATGGTTTTGACCCCAAGCTTAGTTGGAGAGAAGTACATGTCAAAACTTTAGAAAAGATGACCTTAGTATAAAGATTGTCTTTACCAAAGGAAGAACATATTACAACTTTGCCATCCAAATGTTAAGCATAGCAATAGAGATAGCTAGGTTGGTAATGAATAGATAATGTTACCTTTAAATTATATTCAAGCATGAGAAATAGTTATCGTCGATCGTCTATGTGGATCGGATTATTATGATTCGATGAACTAAGCCATCTTTAATTTCTTTTGGGAGTGTGCCTTTTAGGATTTTTATTGGGAAGAAGCTTCTCGAAGGTCTATGGTTCCTCTTGATAGTCTGTTGTTTCTCTTGGGGGACATGTATTAATTCTTTTTGGTTTTCCCCTCAACGCTATATATATCCCATCTCGAGCACGCTTTAAGGACTCGCTCTAATATCTCATTAATTTCTATTATCATTAAATTCAAAGTGATATCTCAAGTATTTCAACACATATCAAGTAGTTATTTTATCATTTTAATTGCACATGACATGAGCGTTAGTTTTTAATGTGCCTTAGCACACTTATTAGTTTGCACACTAAATTGAATAGGGAATGTCAATTTTTAATGTATTCCTCTCATCATTCTCCTCAAATACTTATCATATATACCCAACATCATCAAAGAATATTCATTCATTTTTTTATCTTTAGATGAATCAAGAATCCCCCTACTATTCCATGTTAAGTTATGGGGAACAAAATTATAGAAATTGGCAAGGAAATAAGGAGAGAACCTCTGCTAGTTATGACTATAGATATAAAATTTTTATTCATAGAATAATTACACACATGGTTCATAGTAGAGGTTAGGGTGGCTAATTTGTTACCGATTTTCTTATTAGTGAATCCACAAAGCATAACTTACTTGATTCGAGCATAAATGTTGTTAACACAAATATCCCACTATAACACATGATGAATTTGCCATTGTTCACGGTGAGAAAGCAAGAGTGCCTATAAAATCCAAATGCTTAAGTGACAATAATTTGAAGATTGATTAAGAGAGAACAAAAAATTATCATTGAGTCTGGAAACATACTTTTTGAAAGGGCAAGAATTCTTGTCTTTCAAGGTGTGGACATTATGATATTTCTAAGAAGGATTTCTATTTGTTGAGGTACCTCATTTGTGGGCACCATGAGTAGATGAAGTGACCTTCCTTTTGGTTAGTATCCAAGGAATCAATGGTTTGTTATCTCCAGAGTTATGGGAGAAGGAATTACAACATAAAAATTGGAGTGCTTTCACATATTGATGACTTCTAGAAGAAAATATTTTCCATCAAGATTAAGATCACAAACTATTAGAAGGGGGCTCAAGGTTGGTTAGAACTCTTCCACACATATAGTGGCAAAAGTGATTTTGGAACTAATAGTGATAAGGCTATCTAATGTTATGGGAACCCTAATATGGCTCCCAATTTCTCGAGATACCCTTTGGAGACTATCAATACATCAATATATTAAGGATCTTAACTTGTAACTGAATGAATGAATGAATAAACAAAACTATGATGGAGGAACTAGGAGTTCATGCTCCAATAGACTCAAGTTTATCCCACTAAGTTACCTAATTAAGTGAGGTCCATCCCAACCCTTCTCCTTTTTTATTCAATAATCATAAATTAAAATATTTATAGAAATTGATACATGAAGAGTTAGTGCTTAAAAAATATTTTTGAATGCTTATGATGCTAGAGACACATAAAGACTATTTGAAGCCTTGCCAATTTGTCTATTGTATCACAACAGTTATTAATGATATCATTCTTTTTCATTTGTCAAAAGAGAAATGATCAAATATGTAAAAAAACCCTCTAAATTTAACAAAAATAATGGAAATGAATCAAACAATTTCAATAGATTGTGAGATATTATTTTTATAACATAATATAAAAGCTAATATTTTTTAATTATTATTTTACAACATAGATATATTAGCCCCATGATAAGTGCCACATCAACAAATGCCCACTTAGGTTATGTGTACTAGCAAGAGGGATCTCTTGATGACTCTTCTTAGTAATACCTCTTAGTAGATCTTCTCATGAAAGACTTCATGGGAAACCCGATCTCAGGAAAGACTTCATTAGGAAGCTCTTGCAGAAATTCCACTATGGAAGCCTTCTTAGAAACCCTATAGTAAAGACTTCTTGGGTGAATTTCACTAGTCTCTTCTAATAAATTCTTTCAAGGACCCGCAGTAATTAACCCAACATAATCAATAAGCCTTCTTGTATTATTTCTTTTTTGACATGATCTAAGTCCGGTGACCGTCGGCGACGTCTAACCACGGCGAGCGACGAACGGCGACGGAGGGCGACGGGCGAAGCAGTTGAAGTGAGAGAATGGAAGGAAACGAATGACGGCCAGAGGGGTTCGAGTTCGGGAAATAGGGCTTTTACCGGCGGAAGTTCCGCCGATATTGACACTAGTGACGTCAGTATAATTTCCGACGTCTGATCCGTCGGATATATTTCGTTGAGTTTAAATACGCCGGCGCCATGTCCGCCGGTAACGTACGCCGGAATTGTTCCGCCGTAACGTGCGACGGAAATGGTTCAGGCATCCCTATACCGTCGGATTTTCCGGCGGAATCGGGGTCGGTGAATTTACGACGTAGTTTGTGCCGGAAAGTTTGACGCAAACTTTACATCGAGCAAATCCGCCGGTACCTGCGCCGTTTATTACCGTTCAGAATGTTCCGCCGAAAAATCCGACGGTAATCGCGTGTTTTCCCGTAGTGAATACTCTTCTTCCATTAGATATTTGATGAAAAACTTCAAATTGTTTCAACCATTCAACAATGAGAATGCCTTAGCTCTCTATAGGACCCAAAAAACTCTCTTATTTAGAATAGATAGAGCTTTTCTCTCCATAATGACACTAGAGTCTAAGAGATCCCTTGCATGCATAATATATAAAGCTAACGTCATTCAAAATGGTAGTAATCTCAGAAGAGTCCAAGAGGAGATTGTTTCTTTATAATGTTTATGCTTACACTTGACATCCTTAAGCTTAACAAAGAGTAAAGATAGGGTCTTCTAAATCAAATATATTTTAGGAATCATCCACAACCACTAAGAAACTCAAAATTTAATATAAAAATTCTTAAAATTATATATCTAGAAGCTTGCTTAAAGGTAAGGAAGTAATTTGAAAGGAGGAATTAGATTTTAAAAAGAAATAGAGTTAGAGCTCCCATTCACTAAAACACTTTCCCAAACTGTAAGTAAAAGTTTTGAGGGAGGCATTCATAAGAGAGAGAAGAGAAAATACGAGGGAATTATCAAGGTCGACAATGGCAAGAGAGGACCATTAACAACCTTAAAATAAACTTATTTTTCTCCTTTAAAATATCATCATGTATACTTAAAGTTGCTAATAACAACCCATTTTGGATTAGAAAGGGAGCCTATTAGTAGATCCTAAATGAGAAATGGTGTCCCATATATATGTGGCTCTTCTTTTAAGCATAGTTGGAGCTATTGACTATAATAATATTGTAGAAGTGAGTCGATTGAAGTATGATGAATTTTCTATCAATGATGAAGGGTTAGATATATGGACTATTAGAATTCCAAGAAATTAATGATACTTCACCTTTAGGGATGTACAAGTTATAGGAAATAATTAATGGGGAAAAAAAGCTGAGATGAAATGTAAACCATTATTGGATAGAAGAAATTAATTATTAAGTTTAATTAGACCGAAGATCGAAGGCATAGCTTATAAACCCAACATCATTAAACGTGGTCATGGATTTTTTATCTTCGATGAATGAAGATTCCCCTTATTTTCCAAGTTCATATGAGGTAACAAAAATTAAAAAGTGGCAAGGAGATAAGGAGAGAACCCCATTTATTACTATAGATATTAAATTTGTCTTCATGTAAGAATTACACACATAGTTGCAATTAGGTTGTCTACTTTATTATTATTTGTCTAACTAATAAGATAATTAGAGCAGAACTTACTAGATCAGAGTATAAATATTATTAAGGCAAAGATCACACGATAATATGTGAGGAATTGGTCATTTTTGTGGGGGAGAGAGAGCAAGAGTGCCTATCAATGCCAAATGCTTAATTAATGGAATATGAAAATTGATTAAGAGAGAAATACAACTTATTATTGATAGTGAAAACATAATCTTTGAAGGAGCCAAAATTCTTAGAGACATCTTATCTGTAGAGACATGATCGAGTAGACAAAGATGACTCCCTTTTGGTAAGTATCCAAATATCTCCAATGGTTTATAGTCTTGATAGTTATGATAGAAGGAACTAAAGCATGAAAATTGGAGTGTTTACACTTACAGATGACTTTTTGAAGAAAAAATTTCCCATCCTTATTAAGATCAGATAGTATTAGGAAGGGGAGATGGAGGTTTGTAGGACCTCCACACATACTATGGCAAAAGTGATTATGGGTCAAAGAGTGGTAAAGCATTCATGTGTAATGAGAACTCTAATATGGAAAAACTTATTTTGTGTGAACCCTAGACGACATCTGGAGACTAATCAAAATGCTTCACATTATTTTTTTGCTCGGTATCGAGTGACGTGACACATTCTGGTTGGTCTCTGGACCATCCGGTGTCCTCACATAATAGTTTCTCTTAATATGGTTGGCTCACATGTTATTAATAATATAATTCTTTTCATTTGTCAAAAGAGAGTTGACCAAACAAAAACCTCGGAATACAACAAAAACCATACGAATGAATCACACATTTTCGGTAGATTGCGAGATATTATTCTTATAACATAATATATATATTTTATTAACTCGTTACTACTTCACAAAACGCGCGGCAAATATCAACCTGACGACATCCAAAAAATCGAGCACAATCTCATCATAAACTAAACCAGAAGACACCAACTTAATCATTTTCCATGCATATAACAGCAAAAACTTGACTTCTGATTCAAACTTACAGGATAATGGCAGAGGAGTACGGGTATCAAAGAAGCGGGAGGAAATGCAGAGAAAAACTCGACAATCTCTATAAATATTACAAAAAGACCAAAGAAGGCAAAATCGGAAAACACGAAGGAAAACACTACAGGTTTTTCCGGCAACTGGAAGCACTCTACAGCCCCTCCACCACCACCACCGCCGCCACTATCATCAAAAGCTCCAATCCATCTATTGCTAAAAAACTGAACTTGCTTGAAAACCAGAACACTCTTCTCTTCTCGACTTGGTCTGAGTCCTCTGCCGAAGAAGAAGAAGAAGAAGAATACAGCAGAACAAAGAATTGGATTACAGAGCTGGTAGAAGCTCAAATGAAGAGATTGTTGGAGATGCAAGAGGCTTGGTTTGAGAAAATGATGAGAAGTTTTGAGCGAATGGAACAGGAGAGAGTTCGCCGAGAAGAGAGTTGGAGAAGGGAGGAGGCCGAGAGGCATGAGAAAGAAAGGCGTCGGCTGGCGAGTGAACGAGCGTGTTCGGAAAAGAGAGAAGCTGCACTTATTATGGCGCTGGAGAAGATTATTCAGCAGAGAGAGAGCTTGGGCCCGGCAATGATGGTGCGCGGCGGAGAAGAGCGAGAAGAGATGGAATGTGATTTAAGCCGTGCTATGGGTGTGTTGTGAAGAAATTTTATCTGGTGAGGGGTTTGATTACGCTCATGTTTGCATGTCGAGGATTAGTGCCGGAAGTGATCTCTTTGACCAAAATAATAATAATAATAATAACTATATACATTTTCATCATTTTATATATGTTAATTATGATGAGGCTATTATAGATATACACACACTACAGAAGGCACAAAAACTTATAATGCTAATAATGAATTGCCTAACGTCGACAATGTTATGCATTTTCTTTCTTTTAAGGTTTCATTTAGGACAGCTTTTTTACTGAATCTTAAAGCAGATTTTTAGTATAAAAATCATAATTTTTGTACTAAAAAGATGTTTTAAGAAGCGGTAAGAAAGTTGTCTCCAATGAATGCTATGTTTAATATTGGAAGGTTATTTGTTCTTTTCTTGTATTAGACAACTGATTATAAAAGATGATAAATTAGCCATACTAAGATTATCATTTGAATGGGGTCTTTTTGTTTTCCACAAATTACTTAGCAGCATTCATACAAGCCAGTAATGTTGGGGTGAACTAAAAAAAATTGAGTAGAATTAGATCTAAGTGTCAATTAGGTTAAGGAATGTTTAATGTGATGTTGGATCAAATATCATGCTCTTTCATTTTTGAAGGTTTGTCTTGCTAAGGAAAACTTGATTAATCTCCAATCCATGAAAGAAGAATATTGGAGACAAAAAGTTGTTGCTAAATTCATTTTCTGAAAGTGATGGAAACACTAAGTATTTTCACACTTTAGTTAATTCTAAGAAAGCAGAAGCTCACATCAAAAAGATCAAGTTGAGTCGGAAGACTAGTGTAATGATCAATCTTTAATCATTGATTCTGCTTTAACTTTTTTAAAAGCTCTTTTGATGTTTCTAAGAATGTTTTTCAGTTGTCTAACCCTTCTATTATTAATAATGTGGAGAAGCTTGCTATGACTAAGTACCCTAATGAGGGAGAGATTTTTAATGCTTTAATGTATATGAACAATGACTCAGCTACTGGTTCAGATGGCTTCATTACTATTTTCTTTCAAAAAAATTTGAATGTTGTGAAGGAGGACCTTTGCAAGGTTGTATTGGCCTTTTTAATGTCTTTACTATTCCTAAGTGGTTTACTTCTATGTTGGTTGTTTTGATCCCAAAAAAATCTAATCTAATTTTTTGTATGATTTTAGACCGATTAGTTTGTGCACCACCTTTAACAAGCTTATTTCCAAGATGATGGCCAATACATTATCTCTTTTATTTCCCAATATTATTTCTCTAAATCAGATTAATTTTGTTAAAGGTAGAAACATTACTGATAATGTCTTGCTTGCTCTGAAATTACTTCATGAAATTAATAAAAAAGTGCATTGCCATAACTTAATAATGAAACTTGAGATATTTATAAGGCTTATAATAACATCAATTGGACCTTTATCTTTAATATTTTAAAGTTGTTTAGTTTTGATGACAATGTTATTAACCTTTTCAAAAGCATTATTTAAAATTGTTGGTTTTCTTTGATCATCAATGGCAATTCTCAAGGTTTCTCTAAAGACATCCAAGGTATTAGACAAGGTAACCCTTGTCCCCTACTCTCTATATTATTGTTGTAGATTATTTATCTAGAAGATTATCTCTTTTCTTTTCCATTAATAAAGATTGCTCTTACAAGAACTTTGATTGTATTGACATATCTCACCTTTGTTTTACTGATGACATCATTATTTTCTGTAATGGATCCATGAAATGTGTTAAGAAAATAAGGAAATTTCTTTCTAATTTTGAGAAAGAAAGTGGCCTACACTTTAATAACAAAAAATGTTCCTTTATTGGTGGCAACAATATGTCTACTGTGCACTACAACAATATTATTATTACGTATATTGGTTTCTCTGACCAAATATTGCCTATATTTTATCACGGTACTCTTCTTTTTTATTGGACAAGCTTCTTTAATCCATTGTGTTGACCTCGATTTTGCCCAGACCCTTGGTCAAAGGGTTGACTGGGTCAAATTGACTAAGTTAGACCCCAAGACCCTCTCCAATAGGCTCGTTGGGTCGAGTCGAGTCTGTTGAGCCCGGGCTTGGACCACTACAGGAAAATCACCGATTTCCGGCGGAATTTTTCGGCGGTTTTCTGGCGGCTTTCACGTTTCCTTTGATTTTGGTCAAAGGGTCGACCCTGAGTCAACCTAGTTGACCGAGTCAACCAGGGTTGACCAATTTGGCCCCTTTAAGCTTAAAACCAATTCTAAATTAATTTCATGACTTGATCCTCATCCTCTTGACCTGATTGACTTAGTTGACCAAGTCAAATCTTGACTTGGTCAAACCAAGTCATAATTAGGTCAAAATTACCTATTTAATTGGAATTAAGCCCACTTTAATACCTTTAAGAGCCCCTGAACGTTTTAGAAATTCAAATCCCATGGTTTCAACCTATTTTCCCTCCTAATCGTGCTTGGATTGAATCATGACCGTTGGTTTTAAGTCCAAGCCTTTAAATATTGATTTTAGGGTTCCAATTAGAGGATTCTGCAATTTATTCCCCCTAAGCCCGAGATTTTTCGTGGGGAGCTTGAGAGAACCCTCCTCCCGACGATCCAAAGTCGACGCCTGCGATCCTCCGGCGACCCGAAGGTCTAAACGTCCAAGGCTTCGATCCACTCGATCTGGAGCTTGTTTGACCGAGGATTCAAGAGGAGAAACGTACGAGGACAGTCTACAAGCTCAACCGTGTCAAAGATTCAAAGATCGGACGGTAAAATCTCTCGAAATCCCTTAGGATAGATTGAACACTTAGATCTAAATAGATTTATGTAGGCTTTGATTTGCATAAAAAGAACTACCCCCCCAAGATATCTGTTCATATTTAGAACTAGTGTTTAAAATTTCGTGAAATTCGGTTGAGAATCGAGAGAGAACGAGCCAAAAAACGAATTAGGGTTTCGGTTTGACCCCTCGCGCGCGCAGGCTGAATCCAGACCATTGGATCCGTGATCAACGGTCCGGATCTCGACCGCCCGCGGTCTGCCGCTGACCGCGCGGATGACTCCGCGGCCTTAATTATTAATAAAACAGTAAAGTGTATTATTTAAAAAATACTATTTTGATTATTTTATTATTATTATATTATAAAATTATTATTTTTAATTATAATATTAATAATTATATTATGATTAAATTATTTCTTACTGTTTTGTACCTATTTATTATTATTATTGTCATTGTTATATTTATTTAAATATAAAAAAATATTTTCATTATTTAATTACTTTAATTAGTTAAATTATCTAAAATATTACTAATAATTAAGTTATTACTAATATTTATATTTGCATATATATTTTAGTATATTTTAAATTTCAGAGATTTTAAATTATTATTCCATCTCATTTTAACAATTATTTTTTAATTATGATTATTTTGAATTATTTTAAAATATCCTTTTAATCGTTTTAAACTTCGAAAAATCGTATCTTTCTCGTTTTTAATCCGCTGTCGACGCACAGCACCTTGATTTGAACGTATTTGAATTCTGCACATTTTGGAACTAGTTTTACTTAAAAATTTTGGATCTGTATGCAGTTATTTTTAAAACAGCCAATAGCACTATTTTAAAACTATTTGATTAATGTCTTTAAACTTTGAAATTGCGTAATTTTCTCGTTTTAAGTCGGATTTTGATGCACAGCACCTTATTTTGGGTGTATTCGAAATTCTGCATATTTTAAGAATATGTTTATATAAAAATTATGCCTGTATTATCTGTTATTCCAAAAACAGTGAAATGACGTTATTTTAAAATATTATATTATTGTATTCAAACTTGTAAATTTCATATCTTCGTCGTTTTAAATCAGATTTTTGCGTATAACCCCTCGATCTTTTCAGAAAAATGTGAATTTTATTTTTACTATGGTTTCAGTGTCTGGTTTTGGATTTTCTGACAGATTTCTGCTTTGATTTGATTATTCGGGTATTTTGATATTATTTTTATAATCAATATGATATTTATTTTCAGGATACAAACTATTTTCAAATCGTGTTGAAGCTTCGATTGAGTGGTCAGCGAGTCGCCCATATACCAACTATAATTCAACCTATTTTTTAATTATTTTAATTTCCAAAATTTATGTATATATATGTTTAAGTATTTTTTAAACTACTTTGAAACTACTTATATGTTAAATCTCTTAACCTTGGGAGACTTGCTTCATGAAATTTTAGACATGGGTTCTAGATATGAAGAGCAATCATGGGGAAGAGGATTAGTGGGTGATTGAGCTCCAATCATTCACTAATTCCTCCGTTAGGTGTCTTTCTTTTTATTTTTCATAGATTGCATGTGTAGGTCGCACCACGAGCACTTAGCTTAGGCTCTTCTAGACTTAAGGACATGATGTGTTTACTTCTTTTATGTATTTCCCCTGCATTTAATACCTTGAGGGTTAGTTGAAACACCACTTTAAACTCCTACAACGTAGTGACACCCTAAGAACAATAATTAAGGACCCGTCTAGCAAACTTAGAAGTTTTCTAGGAGCTAGGATAGATCCTGAATTGACAAGAAAACTTCAACACCTAAACTTAGTGACATCATAAACATCCCAGAATTTTCTAAGAATTCTTAGGGCTTGTTAGACCCCTTAGTTAACCAACCCTAATTAATCTGCTAAATAAGGCCCCTAGACCTTCCGAAAAATACAATAAATACATTTTAGGTTAGAAAATTACCTATAATACCTCAAACTGACCAGAATCGGATCCTTGACTTTAGATAAATAGGGCTCCCTAGTTTGACTTCAGGTTGACCCCTAATTTGACCATAGGTGAAAATTACCATTTTAGCCCTAATAATTCATTAAAAATTATTAAAAATCCCAAATCCCCTCCAAACACTTGGGAACACTTTCTCGGGTCATTCCTGACCTTTGGGAGTGATTCCAATCAGTTTAGAGCTGATTTGGATCAAAACGGTAAAATCAGCCCTTTATTAGGAAATCTAGAAAATTCCTTTAATTAGCCGATTTTTAGAAAATTTATAACTAATTGTAGAAAATTCTAAATTAGGCAAACTCACTTGCATTAGACTTCAATTAGGGCCTAGTATTTATTAAAAATCTTAAGTTTCCAGAAACTGACCTAGTTTAG